TTCAACCCTCCCTAAGAATAGCGACCGTTCTACTACAATTATGCAGCTGTCGTAATTAGATCGACAGGATGTAGGGAGAGTCCAGCGAAGCCTGTGGTTTTATCGGAAACCTTGAAAAGCCCAAGCACGTACTTGTTAGTCTTCGGGGCCTTGCATTAAGCTCAACAGACTTCCGCTCCCTGCAGCCGCTTTGGAGGGCCCTGGACACATGGGCCAATTTCCGGTCAACACGACGGGCTTGGAGGAAAGACCTCTGTGTTAGGATTGAGTGACCAGTAGATCGTGATCCGGGAAAAGTTCGTCCAGGTACAAGGTCGCCATACTCAAACTGTGTGCCTTATTTGCGATATATAACGAAGGTTTCATAAGGATGTTACATACAACTTAAGAACCATGGGTGTTGGAGGACGCCACTTGTAGGTCCTACTTCTTGTCTTTTCCTCTCTTGTTTTTAACTGTCTGTCTTGTGTCGGCGTGTTTCTCTTTACTCAAACTTAACTTTGAGGTTCTGCCTGGGAAATAGGAAGAATGTGACCCATAACTGTTTTTAGTCGGTTACGTCTGTATACCTTCACTGGAAATAGACTGGCATGAATTTCCTTTCAGGCGGGATAGGTGGGATTGGTTTTTTGTTGTTGCTGTTTTGCATATCTTGACTCTTGGTTTGTTTGTTTATTTGTTTGCTAGTTTTTTTGGGTGAGTTATATATAGAGTGATTAGTTAATGTAGCAAGTGACGGTGCTAGTGTTGCTGTTTGTGAAGATAGGGTTAACCAGACATACAAAATCTGGGTTCGAATATTGGGCTCAATAAATCAGAGCACACGGGAATGTGGGGACGAAAAAGAGGGAAGGAGAAGCGAAAGGAAATAAAAGGTATCCTTTGTGCTTGACAGCTCATTTGTTCTAAGGGAAGGGAACTTTACGATCGAATGAACAGACCGACTAGCACAGAGCGATTGGGAAGCAGAAAAGTACAGTTGTTACCAAAGGGGTGAGTTTCACAATAACGTGACAGAGCTCTGAATTCTCAGTACGTAAAGGGCGCTCCATTAGCTTAGCTGCTATCATACTGAACTACGGAGCGGGTGGCTCGGGTTCGAATCCCAGACTGGAAGTTCTTAATCTCGATTTCTTTTATGGAGTTTTAAGGCTCTCAGCACATTTGGTTCGGTTTTATCGGAGGTACCCTTTCTTAAATAGCCCATACCCTTGCTTTTTCATTACATAAAAAAGAATACATTTGCTTTGAAACGTTCGTGAATAGATTGATGCCCATTGTAATAAGCAGAAGAACGAAATATCTCAAATTTGTAAGTTTTCTCTTAACATCTTCCGTCCAGCTTTCAGCAAACAGGTTTGTTGACACCAGGTACAAAGTATATCTTTACACATTGCACTTAAACACGATTTTCATGTGAGTAATATGTAAACATTACAGAGTGAAATATATGTCATTAAACATCTGGGTTAAAAAGCATACGTTTCAACGTATCAAAACTTCCCGAACTTTTAGAGTTTAAAAATGAGGAAAACAAAGTAACCAAGATGACGTGTTTGCCTTGCATCGGGAATATGAATAGAAACACCTATCAGAATCCGTGACAATAATGTCTATACAGTGATAAGAGACCCTCGTGAATCGGAATTGAAAATGTGCTTGTAAAAATTTTCAGTAATTTTAATATCGATTCATTGTGCCTAAACTCAGTACCTAGTAAACTTCCCTGTCAAATTTGTTTAAAATTAAAGTTCGTAACAAATTCTATAGCAATAGAAAAGACAGACCGAACAAATATTGCTAACTAACAGATACCTATGTCTGTGTTCGCTACGTCTTTCCCTAGAAAGACATCTCCCTGTGCACGGTTTTGTCTAGAGTTCGGTGAACTTTACAAGGGTACTGATGAGACAAACCGGGCGCATAGCTTTGTGTCTCCCGGTTGACTGAATTGATAAATTAGCAAGATAATTACTGAGACATTCTGGGGGCCCATGGCGGAACGTGCGAATGAAATTACGGACTTTAATGTTCTATTTCTAGAAAGGTCTATTTGGAAACTTCACTGTGCGTGGTGCCAAATGGTTTACATTTGACTTAGGATTTGATCACTATTCTAAAATAAAACGTCAAACTGACAAAACCGGAACCAATGGTGTGTTGATACATCTATGTGCCTTCGAAGCACACAACACGAGCTCTGTTCCTACAAATTCTCCCGCGATAATTTTTTAGAGAAAGAGGAGACTGATCTTTTCTAAACCATGCCATTAAATGTGAGTTTAAAGCAGTTTACATAATCATTTTTTTAAATGGATGAACTAATGAGAAAGGCCAAACGGATATTAATCAAGAGAACGTGCCCATTCATGTACGTCATAATATCATGACAGCCTTTTGTCATCTTTTGTAGGTGTTCATCCTCCCTAAGAAAACGTAAATACTTTGCAACATTTGAATATTGAAACTACACTGTAGTAAACAAGCAACTACAACATGGTAAAGTGAATCATGAGAGCTCGTCATGTTACCCTGTTGCGCGCTTGTTTACTCAACGAATTATTTCGACGGCTTAGACTAAGTACCGAGCTGGTTTAAAATTGCGAGTAGTTTGTAAGCAGGCTGAGCAGATTACATGAAGTGTGGGCAGTGTGTGTTTGTCAAAGTTCACATATTTCACTTGAGAGTTATTATAGACTTTACATCGACATCCAAAAACGTATTTATTGTTAGAAGCTTACCAAGTAATTGCTGTTGTCAAAAAACGTCAAAGTAAAATGACGTCACATCATTACAGGTCATGAGAGAACCTCGACCTCCCATCACACAGATGAACCGCAATATGTCAGGAAACTGGCTTGTTCAAGTGAATTTGTCCAGTTGATTGTTTTTACATAAAGAGAGAGCTGTCGTGACAACAAGCTGAAGCTTATAACTGAGTATATTCTCTTACGAACAACGTTCCTTTCTGAACTGATAACTCCTGAAAGTTGTCATTGTGTCAACAAATGTTAGATTGGTAGACATTCTCTTATGAAGACCATGGGAACAGGGAATTATTCTATCTAAAGTTTTGATTTTGAAAATGAAATTATACATCTTTTTTCATTCATTCTCTAATGTTTCTCGGGAGAAAGAGGGGAGGGGGGGGGAGAATTGTATCTTAACAAAAATTTTCTTTGGTATCTTTGCTTTCCTGTTTTCTTTCTTTTTTTTTTATTGTTTTGTTTGATTTTTCTTTTCCTTTGGAAAGGAGGGGAGGAGTGAGCTCTCTTGTAAAATTTTAATGACCGTTATGGGGTAGTGGAGGAATGTGTACGATATAGACAAAGTCTTATACATTACAAAAATGGTGGTTGGTAGCACAGACTATGACTTATGTTGTGTTGTATGTAAGGCCTGTTGTGTATTTAATAAAAATAGGGAAAGGCACAGACCTTCGCAACTGGAGACATATCTGTTTACTTCACTGTGTCAACATACGTGACAACATCATAATCTTACCTCTGCATAGTCAAGTAAACCCTGGTCACGGGAGAACGGACCAGGAGCTCCTCCGCCGGTCACTTCCTGCCCAAGGCCATTGCCCTCAGGTTCAGAGGTCAAAGTGAACGATCGGCCAAACCCAGATACAGCCAGAGCTAGCTTTCTGGCCGGAAAACCCGACTCTATCCAGCCTTCGACAAACGTTCTCTGTGGATTGAAGAAAATAGTTATGTAAATAAAAGCATCCTACAAACAAAATTATTAACTCTATTATATGCTCTATCGATTGTAGTAATTTGAGTTCTCAATGCTTCTTACACCTTCTACCAAAAAGTGCTTTCTTTCAAGTTCCTCGATTCTTAAATGTGTTCCATCGACACAACGTAAACCACTAGAAGAGTGTGACTTCGAACCTGCGTGACAAAGTCAATCTGGGTGGGCACAATCGGGTATATCCCAGGAACCCCCCCCCCGAAAACTAGATTAACACTTGGTATAATATACCCTTTGCCAATAGACACTGTTATCGCGAGAAGGGTAAACAGGCTAGTCTAACAACAATATGTCACAGGCCATGCGCTCAACAAGGAAGTTAAGACCTCTTTCTTGGACTCCAGCTGTTGTGCCATTTTAAAGTCCACTGAGCAGCCTGGGTTATGAAATCAGATAGTAGTATCTTATATAGCTGTTAATTCCAGCTGTCTGTTTCTTTGTCTATCCAGCAGACTTAACTTGGTTCATTCGCTTAACGACTGGTGGTACAGACATCGCATTCAGATTGAAAAAATAAAATGTACTCTGGGGTGAACAGGGTATGTGAAACATTTGCATAAGCCGTGTGGCGATGTTGTTCACCAGCTTACGAACGAACAATTTAATAAATACTTTAAATGTCTGCGTATATGAATGTGTCATGCCCACGTTTGTATGTCGGTGTTTGTATGTGTGTGTGTGTGCATGTATGTGTATGTATGTGTGTGTGTATGTGTGTGTATGTGTGTTTGTGTGTGTGTGTGTGTGTGTGTGTGTGTGTATGTGTGTGAGTGTTGTGTGTCTGAGTAAACAGGGTGATAAAAGACCCACCCACAATTTTTTTTCTAAATATCTCGAGCACAATTTGTACTAGAATGAAGTAATTTGGAATTGATACAACTCATTCAAAAGAGTTTATTTGATACAAAATTCACAAATAAGAAACCTATTTTCGAAAACGGAAATAGCTTTTTAAGAACCATTTATTAATGTAAAATGCACCAATTTAAAAGATTGTGTAAGGATAGTCATGAAATGATTAGTATGTTTTTTTCCTTTCCTTTTATTAAAAAAAAATTGGTACATAGCTGAAAATGGGTTGCTTTCTTACGCTGTGTAGAGCAAAAACTATTCTGTGGATGTATCTGAAATGAATATCAGACAAAATCCTTTTGACTTTCAAATGTTGTGTACAAATTTGAAACGCAAAACTAGAGAGTGGAGGAAAATATTAACAAAAGAAAGTTGTGCCGTTTTGTTTATCACCCTGTATTTAAGGGAGAGAGATAGACATACATAGAGAGAGAGGGGGGGGGAGATAGAGAGAAAGAGAGAGAGAGAGAGAGAGAGAGAGAGAGAGAGAGAGAGAGAGAGAGAGAGGGTGGATTGTAAATTACTCTTACATTACCTCTTTACTGCTTTATCTTGGGGAGGGGGGTATTAGTTTGCTTTAGTTGTTTTTTTTAATGAAGGAGCGGGGTTGGGTGGGTTTTTTTTACGAAGCGTAATGTCTTACTAAATACAAATATGTCATTTGAAAGGACAGCATGTGAGACGCCATCAACACGTCTGGACAGTATGAGGAATCGAGGATCTGTTGTTCTTTGATCGGACCTTCTGTTGACAGTACGGCAATTTTAATTTAGCAAGTTATAAAATGTAATGGTATTGCTAATACGGAAAGTAGGGGATGCTCCTGTGAAAGATACGTTGTGGCCAATAAATAACAGGCACTAGTCACGTAGTTGTATCTTTGTTCCCAAGACAGTAGACTACTTGCTTTCCCTTGATCCCGTCAGGGTTTTATAAGGTCACGTAAATAGGAAACTCGATACGTCACAATATTTGTGTACTCAAAGAAGATGAAAATGTAGAGTGAAACTTTCTCTGCAATGTAGTTGACAGAAGAGAAATAAATTGAGAGAACTGAAAGCGTAAAGGCTGTAGTGGGAATTTTAAAAAAGAGAAGAGAAATGAATTGAGGACTGAACGAGAGAACACTCTCATAGAAATATTGGAAACGTAGAGAAATACATTGGGAACTCCACCACAGTTTTCAAAAACAAGGGCTTCGTTCAGAGGCTTAAGGATCTTAGTACATTTACAAAACAATAAAATCAGTGAACCAACGTTTCTTAATCACCCTTTACACGTGTTTCATTTTAGGAGATCTGAATGCTTTGATTGTTTAACATTCAATTTGTTGGGGGGTTTTTATGTGGGTTTTTTTACTGGGTCTTCCTTGATAATTCTATATTGTAGCAATTCGAGCGCTTGTTTAACACTCAACTGTTGAATATTCACTCAGAACGACACGGTTTCATTAAATAGCGTCTACTTTTTTTCTGAATGCCAGGGCTGACCATACAATAGACTCATTTGATTTTGAACAAACAAACCAATGCATTTTGCATTTACAAAGACACACTCAACGAGATTTCTGTTATCACAATGGCGAAGATATGTTTTCGTAGTTTTATTTGTCAGTGTAACGTGAGGTAGTATTTTATTAGGTAGATTACGTATTCCCGTCTACAAAAATGATTTTGGAAAATGGACAAACAAAGTGGTGTTTACAAGGCTTTCAACAGCTGGATTACCTCAAACATCAATCGCATGTTATTGTCTTCAGCTGTTATCATCTTATATTACGGTTCATGCATGTCATTGTGAATTTAACTTCATTTTGATGGCCAGTACAGTGTTGTGTTACCCTTTTAAGACTCAATTCTTAAAATATAACTGCGCATATTATATGCATACCTTTCCCTGTGAAAATGGTTAGGCTCGTAACCGTTGTAGACAACTTGAGTTCGATTCTCGTGGGTGTGTCCATCTTTCGTTCGGGATACTGTATCTCACTAACGCTAGATTTGCTCTTACAGGCGGAGTCGATAGAGCCAGACTCTTAAAAATGTTTACTGAGGCGATAGCAAAGCTATACCTAAGTGTTTAGTTCTGAAAGAAGTGAGAAGTACTCATTTATGTTCTGATTATATGCATTGTTATAAAATTCTTGTGCAGACTTATACACTTGCAGAGTGGCAGATTTCCAAGGAAATGCTACATACAATTATTTCGTACTTGTAAATTAAGCAGAGTCAACTGGGCTTCTGTTAATAACCTATTATTTTCCTTGGAATTTGGATATGTCCGGTTTTCTTAAAGTGTTTCAAGCATAATTTTCTTTCTCAGCGAGTTAAAAAAGTAGGCTTGTTGATCATCGCGCACAGAACAGAGAAGAAAAAGTCTATCGCTAGTATAATCTATTCTCTCCCTCTACTCCAAATACCCGAACATATCATCAGTTTCCTAAGAATGGGAACCAAAGAGTCATAGCCTTTGTAAAAACTCACAACCAATCATTGAATAATAATCGTTATCGATGGAAATAAATATATTCAACTTCATGTAAAAGCTGCAACTCGGATTTCACTTTCACTTTTTTTTTTATTGTACAAGTTTCAGCTGTTAAAGAAAATAGCTCACTACCCAGTGCCTGACTCAGCACAGTGATATAAATTATACAATATTATGACCATGAGAAGAGTTACGTGCAACAACTTGGTTTATTTTAGGACGGAAATTTTGTTGCACAACTCGATTTTAAATGTCGATTATGTGTATTTATTATGTGTAAAGCATTTATGATTTATGATGTTCTCACCGAAGTCTCTTCGGAAAAATATGTATGTTTTATGAGATGTGGGCCAATCGCCCTGAACACTGAAAGAAACCAAATGTTTATATTATTATTATTAT